AGGGTTCTCACCAATTCCGCAGCTGTCACTCTTGCTGGAAACCTTCACTTCACTGCTGGGAGTGGTGATAGAGTAGAAAAGTGAAGTATTTCTGTATGAGATTCAATCATTGTGGGGACAGGGGGCACAGTGATTCATTTCATGGAAAGCCCTTTACAAAAACCCTGCCTTGCTTACCAAATAGGATCTAGCCAGAATTACCACAGTAGATTGTACAATACAGAAATGGATGTACACATACAATCCAAAGTATGGATCCAGTATGTAGATGACATCTTTGTTATAATAACAAAGGACAATCAACATATACAAAGGGACACAATTCACAAGAGAAGAAGAAGACAACAACACATTACCTTTTCTGGATAATCCCATCAACGGAGACAGAGATGACAAACTACAAACACAAGTTTATCAAAAAGCTACACACACCTACCAAGTGCTGCACAAACAAAGTAACAACTGAACCTCCCATAAAAGAAACTGTGTAAGAACACTATTTAGATGAGCACAAACATACTGCTCCAACCCTGAACATCAGAAAAAAGGAACCAGATTATCTATACAACATCTTTCAACAAAATGGATATCCATGCAACTTCATCCAAAAGTGCCTCATCACTCAACCTAATATAGCACAACCAACATGAGGTGTGAAAAGGATAACACTACTATACACTAAAAACATTTCAGAAATCATGAACAGACTATTACAACCACATGGCACCATAGCATACAAACCAACTAAAGCCCTCCAAACATACTAAATAAACCAAAAGACCCAGCAGCTCCAGAAGAAAAAAAACAGGAGTCATCTACAACATATAGTATAAACATTGCAACAGCCACTAGGTAGGATGAACAGGCAGAAGGCTAGCACAGCACATTCATTGACATTAACTAACAGTCAGAAGATATTGTGAAGACTCCTTAATTTCCACAACACATGGACAGATTTAATCATAGTTTCAACTGAGAAACAGTGACCATCCTCAGCCAAACCAAAAATGCTAGAGAGGAAACCTGTCGCTCTGACAAATTGACCATCAACAGGCACATAGACATAAACAACAAATATATACCATTCAAAAGAGACAATCAACAAGCCAAAAAGGGAACAAAAAGACCAAAACATCTCTTCACCACCAATCAACATTTAGATGACCAGAGATTAACACCAAATTTAACTAGCTAGACTAACAATCAAGAAGTAAGCAACATTCCAGTCAAGGAACTGCCAAACAAGCTAACAATAAACAGCCCAACAAAGAACCATAAAGGCCACTCCCACCAATTCTGACAGGGCAAGCTACTAGAATATAAAATGAGAGCAAACCCCACTTCCTACTAGCACTGATGATGTTACCTAGTTTGGGTAATGAAAAATCTGCAAAATAGCCAAGCTCACAGAGCACCAAGGACCTCTCATTCCAACCCTATGCTACAAATATTCTCCTCTAACATGACCTTAATTGAGCCCGGAATTATGGTTGTAAGTTGTGCTGGTTGTTAAACAGGTCATTGTGTAACTAACCTGATTTTATAACCTTTTTTGCAGTAGTCAATAAGTGAATCACAATGGTTGTTAAATAAATCTGCGGTTGTTATGCAAACACTGCAGTCATTAAGTGAACACACTGTCCACAATGGGCATTTCTGATCATAAACTGAAAATAAATTCCAGTTCCCAGCAAAAAAATGTCATGTTGCATTCACATGACTGCGGAATCCTGCAAACAGACATAACTGTTGCCTGATTGCTGAGTGCTCAAAATGTGATTGGGTGACCATGGGAGGGCAGCTGTTGGAACTTCAAATCTGGGTCATAAGTACTATGATGTGTATTCATCATAACTTTGAACGGTCACACATTAAGTAGTATTTGAACATGAGTATGTAAACATACAATCTAGTAGTCAAAGGGAAAAAAGTATAAACAAGTATAAAATATGGTGAGGTGGGGGGAAGGGTCATGTTCTTCAATGGTGATGGAGGATTACAGGTGAAACTCGAAAAATTATAGAATATTATGCAACTTAAAAGGTGAAACTAATATATGAGATAGACTCATTACATGCAAAGCAAGATAGTTCAAGCTGTGATTTGTGCGATATTCTAATTTTTTGAGTTTCACCTGTATATGGACAATGTGTGCAAGTGAATAATTAGTCTCTAAGCAGCAGAAGCAGAAGCAGAAGCAAGGCACTGAACTTGGTCCCCATTCCAAAGGTTTTTTTTATAAATGCTTGTTGGCCAAATAGCAATAGCACTTAGACATATACCACTTCACAGTGCTTTACAGTCCTCTCTAAGCGGTTTACAGAGTCAGCATATTGCCCCCAACAATCTGGGTCCTCATTTACTGACTTCAGAAGGATGGAAGACTGAGTCTTCAGGACTGAACTCCAGACTATGGGCAGAGTTAGTCTGCAATACTGTATTCTAGCCACTGTGCCACCATGGCTCCTAGGGAATAGCATCTTCTTCTTTTCTGTCTAGAATAATTTCATAGAACATCCTTAGATCTGCACTCTTGCCACTATAGAGAATGCAGTGCAATAGCAGGAGTGTGACTATCTCAATATTACCAGCATATTTGGTCTCGATCTGTATTTCCCTTCCAAAACACTGAAGATCAAGTGTTAAAACTTCCTGTGAGGGGGATCTGAGATGTGGCAAGTGGAAAACGTTTAAGATATGATTGAGATGACAGATTAACAGAGTTGGAAGGGACATTGTAGGTCATCTAGTCCAATCCCCCGCTAAAGCAGGAGACCCTACACCGTTTCAGACAAATGGCAGTCCAATTTGTTTTTGAAAGCCTCCAGGATGGAGCTCCCACAACATCCAATGGCAAGCTGTTCCATTGGCTGATTGTTCTCACTGTCAGAAAATTTCTCCTTATTTCTAGGTTGAATCTCTCCTTGATCAGTTTCCATTCATTATTCCTTGTCTGGAGTACAGGTGCCTTGGAAAATAGCTTGACCCCTCCTCTCTGTGGCAGCCCCTCAAATATTGGGACGCTATCATGTCTCCCCTGGTTTTTCTCTTCACTAGACTATCCATGCCCAGTTCCTGTAACAGTTCTTCATATGTTTTAGTCCCCAGTCCCCTTTTCATCTTGGTTGCTCTTCTCTGCACTTTTTCTAGAGTCTCAACATCTTTTTTATAGTGTGGTGACCAAAACTGGATGCAGTATTCTAATCTTACTAAGGCTTTATAGAGTGGTCTTTGCACCTCACTTGATCTTGATTATATCCCTCTGTTAATGCAATTTAGAATTGCATTGGCTTTTTTGGTTGATGTCGCACACTGCTAGCTCATATTTAACTGGTTGTCCACTAAGACTCCAAGATCCCTCTCCCAGTTACTGCTATTAAGCTTGGTTTCACCCAGTCTATATGTGTACATTTAGTTTTTTTTGCCTAAGTGTAAGACTTTACTTTTCTCTAAATCGAATTTCATTTTGTTAGATATGGCCCACTGTTCAAGTCTGTCAAGATCCATCAGTATCTTGAGCCTATCATCTAAAGTGTTAGCTATTCCTGCCACCTTAGTATCATCTGCAAATTTGGTAAGATCCCCTTTTATTCCATCATCTAAGTCATTTATGAAGATATTGAAGAGTATTGAGCCCAAGATGGAACCTTGTGGTTCCCCACTGCTTATTTCTCCCCATATAGACATAGACCCATTAATAATTACTCAACTGAGTACAGTTTATCAACCAGTTATGAATCCATCTGGTAGTGATGCCATCTATCCCATTTTTTATAGCTTACTAAGAAGTAGGTTGTGGCCTATATTACTGCCACAGTATTTCACTGGTCTACTAATTTAGTGAGTCTTTGACCCCTCCTTGGTCATTATTCTGAATTTCCACACTGGCTATGTGGAAATGTTTGTTAGGAGACAAATAATAACTGTAATCAATAATTTTATAAAAGACCAAAGGACATTTTTTTTGGAAATTTGATTCAAGGGACAGTATTGGATAAAAAGGGACACAGAGATATAATGCAAAGTCAATTTAAAATATAAACAGAAAAAATAGGTAGGCAAAGCAATAATGGCCCCTATGGCTTTCACGGGGCAGATTCCACTTCAACAAGAGCAGACATGTTATCCAAATTGTGTTTCTAGAGGAGATTTTTAATACACAACTTTCCTGTCTCATACATAACATTTCCAGGCAATCCAAATACAATTGTTTTCCATTTGAATCTCTTTTGTATTTTTACATCATTTCTTTTGTATATTTTGGCAGACAAAGTTTATTTGGGAAAAAAAGATGAAATAGCTGTACGGAAACTTTTGAGAGCCTGGAACTATGCCAGGTTGGCATGATAGATACACTTAATGATATATAAAGAGACAAAAGAAAATGTTATAAACAGAATGACCAGAAGATCAGGAAATGAAAAAAAGTAGCAATAATACTATATAAAACTTGTCATAGTCACCCTTATATTTATTTTAGTTTGGGAGTCATTTTGTGCTTGCCTATGTGACTGTATATGTGATTTGCAGTTACTAATGTAAGTATTTTATGAAGTAGGTTTTGCTCCAAGATGATGCCATTTGTCTCTAAAATGCCTCAGGATTTTTTGCTATTTTGGAACAACAGACCAACACAGCTGTCCTTCTGGAATGTGGCTCTTTGGTTTGCCAGATATTTTCTTCACATTCATCTTAGGAAAAAGGAGAAAAGATCAATAGGTTTAGTTGAAATTATTCAAGATTACGAGAATAAATAATGAGGTTCTGGAGACAGAAGAAGAGAGGAATCACCCAGAGGGACAACCTGAACTGACAAGAGACCTCTGCTTTAGTTCATTTTTCCTCATTAAAAGATAAAAAGTCCCAACATTTTCCAAAAAGTTGGTTCATTTATGCACTTATCTTAGTGTGTTAATGAGAGACTATTCACATACTGGTGAATTTGTCTCAAACTGATAAGCTCTCTGGGATATTCTTGTAATGCTCTTTAATACTGTGTCAAACAATGTGCTATACTTTGGCCAGGGAACCAGACTGACAGTGCTAGGTAAGTTCAAAGATTATTTTGTGAAGTTTTCTTACCTGAGCCTATATAAGATTAGTGGAAGTGTGTGGTTCAGCTTGCTTAGAAAAACTTTAAAAGTTTATAATTATACACCCAAAGTTAAAAATGATAGCTGTTTTTTAAAAGAAAGTGAATGTTAGTTATCATCAAGATCCTCCCTGATCATAAGATTATACATAATTATTAATTTTAATTAAATATTGAATATCCTGGATGCACATAATTAGAAAGTTCTAGTTTTTCTACATGGATACTTTGAAATGGAAGAAAGCTAAGCCAAGTCAAGCCTTGCTTGCTGTTCCCCCCCTCTTTCTCCTCCTTTGCATGTCAACTGACAACTGAATTGCATGGGATATGTGGTTGCATTCAAGCTATAGTGGGAGGGAGGGAGGGAGAGAGAGAGAGAAAGAAAGAGAGGGAGGGAGGGAGATAGAGAGAGGGAGTAAGGAAGAGGGAGAGAGAGAGAAGGAGGGAGGGAGGGAGGGAGGGGGAGGAAGAGAGAGGGAGAGGGAGAGAGATTCAGGAGACTGAGCAGCCCCAACAAGAATTACCATTCATTTTATGTGGTGACTTCATCACTGTGTACTGAGCTGCACTTTGGAAAAGGAACTCAACTTACAGTACTTGGTAAGACAAAATCCATAGCTTATTATTACAAGCAAGACTGAATTTCTTAAAATGCCAATGAATGTCTGATCAATCCTTGGTCTAGAATGAAGAAATACATGTAACTGACACTCTAAACACATATGGCAGAATCCATCCTTCCTCATAAAATGTGTTAATCTCATAAATATCTCTTTTGCCTTTCCTTGACCAAATTGAATGTATTGTTTAAGAAGAATCAATCATGCATGTTGGGATATGTGGTGCACTCTCTCTCTCCCTCTGTCTCTCTCCCTCTCCCTCTCCCTCTTTCCCCTTCAGTCCCATGAAAATCTGTTGAGTTTCTATGATTTGTTTAAGGAGGAAAGATTGTTAGCAAATTTCATATAAATAACTTCTTGGCTGAGGCTGACTAGTAAAAATATGCAGAAAGTTTTATTAATTTATTTTATTGATTTAAAACATTTACATAGCCACCCATCTTTCAGCCAACTCTGGGCAGCCCCCAATCAAAAATTAAAAGAATATAAATCATATTAAAGCTATAAAAATCAACTGATTAAAACATTAGCGTTCTCTGTTGGAATTGATTGCCAACATCTGTCTCTTCATATTTATCAATAGGTCTGGCAGTTGTTTACTGAATATTAGATATAATTAGGGGCGACTCCATCCCAAATTATACCAACCTTCTATAAAAGAGAAACAGAAGACATTGAAAGCTTAGGAGAGATGAAAGTTGGGGTTGAATTCTTTCTTATTTGTGTTTTATTCTTCCCCTAAAGAAGTCATTTCCATTTATGAAGTCCTGACCACTAGAGAAAACAATGGATTGAGAAAAAAATATTGATGGGTATATCAAAAATCTGTGTAAAGGAAGAATTTGATTCCTACTTTTCTGGTTGCACCTAAGATTTTCCCCGCATTCGCCCTTGTTTTGCAGTGATCAGTCAGTTGATAGATTCACTGCTGCCACATCTAGTTTAGCCTGAAAATTTGTGATGTGTTAAGAAAATTCTATAAATTGGGTATGGTCCTTTCCATACTCTGTTTGGGTCCATTCCCTGTTTCTGTCTTGCTATGACCCATATCCCCCCCCCCCCGCCATACACAGAAGTCACACTGGATGTTGTAGTCAACAAGTGATGGTCAAACACATCTATGAATCAAACATCCCCCCCCCCTCATATTTTCAGTTTTTACATAAGGGCAAATTTATGCTCATACAGATGATGGCTGTGACTTCTGCTTTGTTGGCTTCAGCCTCAAAGCTTGAAAGAGATTCTTAGGAAACAGATGGTCTTGGATGACAATGTGCTCCTTAGCTAAATATCTGTGACAAATCAAGAGGAAACAAAAGTTTCTGCCTTCTAGCAGCAAACCTTAGCTTTACCAGCACTGGAAAAACTATGAACTAGAGGCAGAGGGAACCAAATTTGATGGAACAGCTTTCTAATTAAAACTGACAGAATAGGATGACGAAAAACCTATCAGCTTCCTTATGGATAACCCAGAGGGGAATTTATTTCATGACCTTGCCAGCTGTGCAATACTGAGCAGATCTACTTTGGAGAAGGGACCATGCTGAATGCTTGGGGTGAGAAAATGACTCTGATGGAAACTGATAGAAATGTACTGAAAAAAACATGGCTCTGTATTCCTATAGTAAAAGAACCTGAGATAGCATAGGTTATACATGCTAATATTGGCAGAGATCAAAAAGCAAAATTCTTAAAGATTGGGGGGGGGACAAAAGGAGAGAGGGAGAAGAGCAGTTGTAAATGTGTCAACTTTAATAAACCAATGGTTGAAGATGGACAGCCAAAGATGAATATGAACAGCATGTGGATTTTTTTTCAGAAGCCTTCCTGCTCATCTCTGTCAGCTCATTAGTCAAGGATAGCTCTAATCACTGCGATAAGATCTTTAAAAAAAAATAGCCCTGATGACCTCTGTGCTCTCCTGTTGCTCATTACATGAAATCATACTGTTTCTGTGAAGATCACTAGGAATGGTGGAGTGCTTTGACCTGGATATGCTATTCTTAAGTACAAAATTCTCCCATTTAATTTCTCAGTTGAGTTTTCCCTTCCTACATGTCCACCAATATCTTGGACCTTTGAAAGAACAGAAGGATATAAATTCAACATTTACACAATCAAAACGTGTAAGAACTGGATCAGGGTTCAATTTAGCTGAAAGATGTTTTCTCCCCAGGATGTAAACTAGAGAAAAAGTTCTTGCTAGTGTGCATGGGTGATGTTTTCTCTGAGCTGAAGCGTCTTTTTTAGTAATAGGATTTCATGCTGTGTCTAAATTCTGAACTGAACTTTGGCCCAGGAACTCGAGTATCTGTATTAGGTAAGTTATATGCTGTGAGGTCTTACATGGATTCAATTATTCTTTGCTATGGAAACTAGGCACAACACGTAGGATCTTAGGAAGCTACTATGTGAAAATTAAGGAGGGGGACAGTATGGTGGGTTATGCAATGGACTTAAGAAATGTGACTTTGATTCATTGATAGATTACAGTATTTCATGTCAGTCTGCCTTACAGGGATGTGTTGAGAATAAAATATGTATGAACTCCTTTGAACTCCTTATATGAAGGATTCTCTTTGTGAAATACAGATCAATACTTTATATGCTAAGAATGTCACCATGGACTATAATAAAGTTTATGTGATGTGATTAGGTGACACAGAAGAGCCTAGAAATCTCTTCCATGCCATCATCCTTGGCTATATGAAATATATAATAATTCAATACCATGGACTCTTTCTTCTTTCTTTCTTTCTTTCTTTCTTTCTTTCTTTCTTTCTTTCTTTCTTTCTTTCTTTCTTCAGTGCTGTTTTTATGATTGTGTAGATTTTTGGCTTATTATTTTTCTTTTAGTCATACAAATTGGACAATAGAAAATGTGAGCAGCTGAAGGATGATCTAATACAGGGTAATTGGTATTGTAACTGTGGGGTACTTATAATAATAATTATAATATTAAAGGCAATAAAAGCACACAATTGGCTAAGTGTTAGTTTATTCATCAATTGAATTTATAACCTGCATGCTCATGGTTCAGATGCCTGCAACTGTTAACAATAAAAAAGAAATGTTCATTGATAAACTCTAATACTCAAAATCTATCAGTGCTATATAAAATCTATAAATAACAATAGAGTCCCAAGGAAAGACCAAGCATAACTTCCAGCATAAACACATCAAGATAATATCAGAAGATTCATTTCAATATTCAGCTTTGAATGTTTCTTTTAGACTCAAGGAGATGTTCAGAAACAGATTGGATAGTTAATAAACAGGAGACATTTCTTCAACATAGCTGTTCCTAAAGGTTTCATTTATAGGACAGACATGTTGTGTGTCTCTGACAAGCTCTATTTTGGACAAGGAACTCGATTGACAGTACTAGGTAAGATCTATGGGAATAAAGGAGATCTGAAGTAATTATTTAGCACATCCATCAAGATAATATGGTGTAGGGCTAACATCTGATTTCTTCCAGATGTTTTGGACCTTGGTTTCTCTTCATTCAAGCCAATGTGCCCAGTGAAGAGGTGAATCCATTTATCTTAAAATAATAATATTATTACAAATCAGGGTTTTGGTCAGAGAATAGAACCATTCTAACACAACCATGAGGGATGCAGTGGCTCAGGGGCTAGGATGCTGAGCTTGTTGATCAGAAAGGTCAGCAGTTTGGTGGTTCGAATCCCTAGCGCCGCATAATGAAGTGAATTCCCATTATTTGTCCCAGCTTCTGCCAACCTAGCAGTTCGAAAGCAAGTAAAAATGCAAGGAGAAAAATAGGAACCACCTTGGGTGGGAAGGTAATAGTGTTCCGTGCACCTTCGGTGTCTAGTCATACCGGCCACATGACCACAGAGACGTCTTCGGACAGTGCTGGCTCTTTGGCTTAGAAACAGAGATTGGCAATGCCCCCTAGAGTCAGGAATGGCTAGCACATATGTGCGAGGGGAACCTTTACCTTTATTTTACCTTATCTAATATAACCACAAAGCTTTTTGAGTGAGATGTTTGTTATAATACATGGTGAACACATTGTGTATCAATGAGAAGCTGCACTTTGGTCAAGGAACCAGGCTTACTGTTCTAGGTAAGAATAAAATTAAAGGCATAAGAAACTTGTATGGGGTAAATTTCAAGGGCCAGTATGCAACTGTAGTTATCCTACAGTAGCAATGATTCATAAGGAAGGACAATATGACTTTTTTTACTCCATGTGATAACCTTGGATTTGAGGCTTGTAGCCCACTCCTGAAATATAGTATGCTGGTCACTGAATACTAAAGGGATTATAATATAGAAAGACAGCAGCAAAAATAGGGTTTTTTAATGATGGATGTCAAGTTCTTTTGCATTTCTCAAAGTTTTTCAGTGTCGGTTCAGAAGAGTTTCAAACTTCCTGGTCATTCTTATTGATATTCTCAGAAACTGTTTTACAAACAGTTCTTGGCAGTGCCAAGAACTGTATGTAATAATTAAGGCAAGGTCTGACCAAAGCAGAATAAAGTTTAGTTATTATTTCCTGTGACTTAGAATGAAATTTTTTGTTGAGGCAGCTTAAAATTGCATTTGCCTTTTCATTAACTCTTATTCAGCTGGGCATCTTATCTTGTAAGAGAAAATTAGTAACCAGCCTGTAATGATTGATTTCATGTGTCCAACAATGGTTTGTCAACCTGTAGATTCACTGCTACTATTCCCTATCAAAAATATATTCCCTTTGTAAGGAGAAACCTGTACCCTCTAGATTACAAACTCTAGATCCTTCCCTACTCAATATATATTATGCCACAAAGGCATACAGGGCAAGGGAACCAGTCCTTGATTATATGAACCTACATTCTCAGGTCCTAAAAACAGATGTTATTTAATAATGCTGGATAGTGTAGATATACCAAAGGTGCTTTTTCAAAAGACAACTGGACTTTGTTTTTTTCTTGAAGATGTTTCACTTCTCATCCAAGAAGCTTCTTCAGTTCTGACTTAATAGTAGGGAATGGAAGGATTTATATTCCTTGCAGTCATCTCTTTCTGAGAGTCGTTGAGGCCACTTGGAGCTTCATCTGTGTCCTAAGGGTCATCTGAATAGTGCAAATGGGTGTAGAACCTTCTTGGAATTGTTGAAAGGACTGTGTTGTAAACACGAGATAGATGGTGTCATATCCCTCCTCCTCTGTTGAGAGAGGGCTGAGAATCTTAGGATAGATGGCTTCTTAAAGATAAACCTCCAAGGCAGTTCTCCACCATTCAGTCAGAACTGAAGAAGCTTCTTGGATGAGAAGCAAAACATCTTCAAGTAAAAGCAAGAATGTACAGTCATCTTTTGAGAACATCTTTGGGACAACCATGACCTGGATGAATGAGAATCTTGATAGACGGATATTGTGGATACTTCCACAAATTGAACTGCCTTAACTATAAAAACTAAGCCCATTCCTGTCTCTGTGGGAAAACCCCATTTTCCAGGGTGGCATATAAACTCGGAAAAGGACAGGTCTGCTGTAATAGTTAAGACAACAGATTAGAAAGTGGGATGCCCTGAATTCTAGTCCTGGCTTAGGCATGAAGCCAGCTGGATAACCATGGGCCAGCCATTCTCTTTCAGCCCTGGGAAGGAGCCAATGACACACTACCTCTGAAAACTTGCCAAGAAAATTGCAGGGACTTGTCAGATAATTGCCTGGAGTCAACACTGGCTCAAAATTAAAAATAGATAAATAAAGAAACAAACAGAGCAAACATGAAGTTCTACCATGAGCTCATTCAGCTGAAACGGCCTGTGCTTAAATAAGACGGAGCCAGCAATATTACTTCATGATGCAATTGGCAAGCTGACATATGTAGGTCAACCATAGCTTGAGGAGGCTGGCCATCTTTTTCATTATATGTTGCTTTATCTTCCAGAAAAGGGACACATTATCACACCCCCAACTGTGACCATATTCTCTCCATCCAAAAGAGAATTGGAAGAAAAGCAGAAAGCTACAATTGTTTGTTTGGCCACTGATTTCTATCCAGATCACATCATTCTTACATGGTTCCTTAATAACAATGTTATAACAGAGGGAATAAAGACAGAGGAGCCCAAATATGAAAATAAGAAATATTCACTGATCAGCCGTTTAAGAATCACTGGGAACCAGTGGCAGAATTCAAAAAACCATTTCAAGTGCAAAGTTGATTTCTACAATTCTTCTGCAAGCACAAGTTACAACGCTTCCATAACTGGAGAAGGTGGGTGAAAGGAAGATCAATTTCTACTTTCTGGACCCTTTCTGCACTTTGCTAGAATTGTCCATACGCTGCCCTTGTGAGAATTTTAAAATATATTTTGCTGAACAAAATTACAAATATTAGAAAACATGTTCATGTTCAGCTGCTAAGCAAATGTGATAGCTTACACTAAATCTTTTTTGTACTGATTCATTCTCTCATAATCAATTATTACTTTCTCGCTCTCTCTCAGTTGTATTTGTCCATTTGCAAAATTTGATAATTTTCCGATCTGTGTCTAAGAGTTTCTGATACAGCCATGACCCAGGCAAAATGTCAGAACCTAGCAAAATTCTTTTACTATTTTTCCATTTTTATTATCTCTTAAAATAACTACATGTAGCATCTAATGCCAACCAGAACACTGTCTTTAAGGAGTGAGTTTTTGAGCCTTGCTTTAGAAACATTGCCTTTAAATCTTAGAATGTATCTATTAATATTAAATTGATAGAATTTATAGAACACACACACACTTTAGAAATCATTTATTTCTATTAATCTTGAGCACAAGTTTACTCCCTTTTTATTTTTTCTTCTTTGTGTAGGATTTATTAGTTGTAGTAGAAATCATGATGATGATGATGAAATATAGCTAATGAGAATTTTCCTCCTTCTGTTTTTAGAATGTGACAGCGAGACCCCCACAAATGGTAAGTCAAGTTCAGTCTGTTGATTCCAAATGTATTTTACACTGAATCTTTAACTTTCTCCAGTACCCCTAATTGTAAATGAGGTTTGAATTACGTGTGGCACAATTCAACATGTTACGTTCCTGACAGTAACTTTAATTTTTGCAAATGATTTGAATATATCTGTGAAATTTAACCCAAAAGGGAGGGTTGTATGTCACTTGGGCCCTTATGACCTCTAGGCTGGAGTACTGCAATGTGCTCTACATGGGGCTGCCCTTGAGGAGTATTCG